CTTATGAACCAAAGACTCATAGGTAGTCCCAGACAGGAAGGCTTCTATAACGTCGGCATTGGCGATGTTAGGGACTCATTGCACTACCGAGAGAAGCGCTGGATGTACCCATGGAGAGTCTCACCAGTTTTCTATCGGTAGTTATTGAGGTCCCATAGGTTTCCAGGGCACTTGTATGTGCCTTGGAAGTTCCCCACAAAGATCTCCTTCAGATCCTCCCAACTCTGGATTGCGTTGGACTGCAGGTGTTCCAACCACGCTCGTGCCAAATTGGCTAAGAACAGTGGAAGGTTGCGGATAATGATGTCGTCATTATCCTCCCCACTGGCTTAGCAGGCAAGCCGATAGTCTTCGAGCCAAAATCCGGGGTTTGTTTCCCGATAATACTTTGGGATGTTGGTCGGTGGTCGATACCTTGGCGGGAAAGCAGCGTTGAGGATGTGCCGGGCGAAGGCCTAAGGGCCCGATAGACCAGGGCTCGGACTCCGGTCCTCGCCGCTGTCGTAGCATCCGCCGCGACGAGGATGATAGCCGCGGCTGGCTCCCTCTCTTGATCGCCGTGGGTACGTCTGCGAGCATCGAGAGTGTTGCGTGCGTCGCGGTTACGGCCGAGACGCTGATGCACCAGGACCACGGCGCGCTGCTTGCCGCCCTGTGGTGCCTGGTGGACCGACGCGTCCCTACCGGATGCGCCGAGGGTGTGCGCTGGATGGCGTCGAGCTTGCGTCGTCGAGACAGCGAGCTCTCAGCCTGCTGTGCCGCCGCACGCTCGAGTAGCGTGCGAATCTCATGGTGAGCCCGACGATCCTCGGACGTCGTGGCCTCCAAAAGACCGTGGAGCAGGGCGGTTGCAGCGGCGATGTTCTGGCTTGCCCGAGCGAAGCGAGGAAGGGCTTCATCGTGGGTGATGATCCTTTGGTTTACATCACGGGCCATGGCGTGTGCGCGCCCACCGTTTCCATGGCGTTCGATCTCCCGATCGAGCTCGACGCATTCCTGCACAAGTTGGAGTCGTGCTTCCTCGATCTCCCGCTGTCGGGCTCTCAGCTGCTCCACCCCCATGCGAGGTGGGGCCACTGTCTCCCCTTCGGTTTTGTTGCCGAGGTTGCCCGCCGGGGTAGCCTCCTCTGCAGGGACGCTTTCCACGTGTCCCTTGGGGGTACCCATCATGAAGCATTCCTGGGAGGGGTGATGGCTCCCTCTACTGGAGTCAGAGCCAGAGGACGACCCTGGCTCCTCTACGAGGAGGATGTGGAGAGATCCCGTGACATGTTCGATCACCCCCACGAACTCGTTGTTCGCGGGGGGGCAGGACCATGCGTCATGCCACAAGGTGGCTAACGGTCGCCGCAGTGTTGCGGAGACCGAACGGAAGCGCTGTCGGGGCGGTCCGTATGTGGTGTTTTAGAGAGAGGGATCCTCCTCCGGCGAATCGCGCCATGTCATTGGCGTCGGAAAGGGTGAGGCGGCACTGGTCCTCCCTGGACTGCTGGGGTCCCAGGGAGACACCAGGCTGGTGCTCGAGCCTCTTGTAGTTGAGGCCGATGGAGGGGAGAGATTGGATGGCGGTGTGAGCCAATGCCAACTCTTCTCCCACCGTGATAATAAAGTCTAGGTTCCCGAAGCGCACGTGTGGGCCTGGGACCCAGCTGATACCGTGGCTAGCCATCCGTGGCCTGATGTTAATGTCAAAACACGCAAAGGTCCCCTACCTGGCGCGCCAACTGTCGGTGTTTCGAGTAAACACCAACTAGTAAATTTATATTTGTTGCGCGTTAGGTCCGGATGGTGTGCTAAAAGACATAAGGTTTATACTGGTTCGGACAGAATGTCCCTACGTCCGGTCTGCTGCTGTTGCTCATGTTATTAGCACTGAAAGGTTCATAGTAGGGGGTACAAACGGTCGAGAGAGGGACAGGTCCCCAGTCTCTGATGGAAAGGTCAAAAGGGCGCTGAGAGCTCGGTTGCTGCTCAGCTGTGTGTTATGTGGTGTGTAGGATTGATCCGTCCCCTTAGTGGAGTGCCCTGCCCTAACTTTTATAGATCAAGGGGGAGCAGGGATTACAGATGGGAGAAAGAGGGAAAACTAGAGGCAGAGAAGGTCCTTCGAAGGTGCCGGGTCTTTCTTTTCCTTTGAGCTTGCCTTGCTGACACGGCAGACGGTGCCAGGGATAGCACGTTCGCTGATCCTGATAGGGCCGTACTCTGGCTTCGTTCAGTAAGTGGTCATGTCCCGTCCTGTCCCGACGGACGACGCGGTGCACTAGGTGCCGAGCTACGACCCTATGGGGAGTAGATGGCGTAGAGGCCCCACGTTTATTACTGTAGATGACATGAGTTTCGTTCTTGGACCGTAGTGGTTGTCGTATGTTGCCGTCAAGATTCGTGTCCGAGGGCAAATGCCGACGCCCATAACACTGTAGGATAAATGTCGGCGCCCACAACATTGTTTGGGCTCTGTCATGCCTGGAAGGGCTTAAAGCGCCCGTCTGGTCATATCCTGACGGTACTTCCCTGCAGGCGTGCAGGGTATGGTCCTCAGTATTGCGGTTGACTTGAGTGCCATGCCTTATCTACACGCGTAGTTATGAAGGAGTAGCGCATAGACGTCGAGCGAGGCGGAGCCCAGCCCTCGGACGTCGGGCGAGGCGGAGCTTGCCCTCGGACGTCGGGCGAGGCGGAGCCTGTCCCCAGACGTTGGGCAAGTCGGAACCCGCCCTCAGACATCGGGCGAGGCAGAACCCGCCCTCGGTCGTCGAGCGAAGCGGAGCCCGCCCTCGGACGTCGAGCGAGGCGGAGCTAGCCCTCGGTCATCAGGCGAAGCGGAGCCTATCCCCAGACGTCGGGTGAGGCGGAGCCTGCCCTCAAACGTCGGGCGAGGCGGAGCCAGCCCTCGGTCGTCGGACGAAGCGGAGTCTGCCCCCGGACGTCGGGCGAGGCGGAGTCTAGCCCTCGGGGGTCGGGCGAGGCGGAGCCAATCTTCAGTCATTCGGGCAAAAAGTGTAGTTGTGTTCTTGTCTATTCGAAAGAATCAACGTTTGATGGTTATTAGCTCCTTCTCTTTGGGTACCCGGTATTCGGTCCCCGACAACCCCTCTTTCATTCTAATCCTCTTTCGCATTGGGGTTTATTCTCGAGCGGGCCAAGATCGACCCAGTAGGGCACTGAACGACGGCACCGGAGTGGCGGGTGTCGTGAGTGAGTATGTGGAGTTGTTACTGGCGTGATAGGGTACGACGACTAAGGCAGGGCGTTGTGGAGCAGCCGCCATCGCCAGCGCAGGACGAGGTGGGAGGGGACGGAGCCATAGCATCCGTCACCTTATTTCGACCGTATTTATATGATGCTTGTTACTGAATTAATTGAAAAGGTTGCTCCAAATTCCTCATGCACCTAATCCTTCACTATAGTTAGGATCTTAAAGCGGAACAGATTTGCTTATTTTATCTTTTTAACCTGCACCTTACCGTACGACACAATCAAAACATAGACCGCATACACCTACTACAGCAGCAGCGACACAGAAGACCAAAGGAGAAAAGAGAAATGCATAGCGAGATTTCAACCACTGATGAGCAACCTGATCTCTTAATTTGCTCTATTATTGTACCAAACGCCTCTCTTTTTTTATTTCTTACACTTATCAACAGTAATAAACAGATTGGTGAGGAGGCACATCGATCTCTAGTGACTAGTGTCTAGCAGTGTTTGCCACTTTGATGTTATATAGTTGAATGTGGGTCTGGGTCGAGTTGTGGTTGTCTCAAAGGTGTGATCGTATCTAAACTATAGCTGTCTGGGTCTGTGTGTGCATTGTATTCTATGGGTTATTATTAATATAATGATACACAACTCTCCTACATATTCGAGAAGAAAAATATCTACAATAATATTAGTAAAGACGTACAGCGCCTATTCATGCTATGATGTTTGTAACCATCCTTGCTCGTCCTCTCTGTAAATTGTATAATCCCATGTATGATTGCAAGTAAATAAAAAGAAGTGAGGTTCAAGATTTCGTCAATCAATTTGGTGGAAAGCTACAAGCAGGCTACCGATGTCTTGTTTTTTAGAACACGAGCAAGGTGTGTATCTTTATATATTTGAGAACACTTGCCTCCTTGAGGATACGCCGGTTGATCTCAGCCGATGTTGAGTTTTTGATTTGTAAGAGTATCTCCAACAATGCTACCTAAATCTTTGTGGTCTTCTCCAGCAACACTACCTAAGACAAGTCTCCCAAATCCATGCTAGTAGAGAATGGCATGTGAGACCCACATGTCATGCTCTTTGTTTCCTTGTCGCCATTGAAGCACTTGGCCATAGTCGGAGACAGGGAAGGACTGCACTTGCCACCAGCGGGGAAGGACCGTAGGCACGGGCCACCTATGTGGGTAGGGAAGGCACGCATCGACAACCAACAAGAAAGGGCCATAGGCCGCAGGCAGCCTGAGGAGGTGTGCCCGCGCTGGGAAGAGCCGCGCCCACACCGAGGATGGCCATGCCGCCTCCCGCACTGGGACAAGGACATGCTGGCAGGGTGAGGGGAAGACATCGCGAGCTCACACGAAGAAGAAACAAAAAGGAAAAATTTGGGTTGTCAAATAGGTAGGGGGGCAACAGGAATGGGTGGTGGGAGTGAAAAAATAGGAGGCCAATAAATTTGGAAGGCCCAGGGGGCTGCTGAAGTTGAATTTTTAAATCTCCACTGCACAAATTAGGAATAGAGGTCAATTGAGTAGTGTTGCTGGAGATGCTCTAGAGGCTCTAGAATTACGCGTTTTTCCCCCCTTTCGGTGAAGAGACGATGATAAGAATCCTTTTGTATAGTAAGCTAGATGTGATGCCGATCCCCTGCGGCGCTGTGATCCACCAATCAACAGTTGTGTTGCGCCCTAGGCCCTAGCTCTATATATATAATATAAGCGTATGTACATTGCATTGCTCCGGACAGCTCTCGTCACAAGCTCGATCACCAAGCTAGTTGTCACCCGGCCACCATGGACATGGAGCTCCTCCTCTTGTACGCCCCATGCTGCCTGGTCCTCGTCTTCTCCTCCCTGTACCTCCTCGGCCTCTATGCCGACAGCCGCCGCAACCTTCCTCCCGGTCCCCGGGCGCTGCCTCTCGTCGGCAGTCTCTTTTCCCTCGGCACCCTCCCGCACCGCTCCATGGCGCGCCTAGCGGAGTGCCACGGCCCAGTGATGGCCCTCCGCCTTGGCACGGTCACCACCATCGTGGCCTCGTCCGCGGACGCCGCCCGCGACGTCCTCCAGCGCCACGACGCCGCCTTCTCGGGGCGCTCGCTCCCCGGACGGCACCCACGCGTTCGCGCACTACACGCACTCCATGGTGTGGCTCCCCACCAGCAGCCCGCGCTGGCGCGTGCGCCGCGCAGGTGTGCTCCGGGGAGCTCTTCGCGCCGCACCGCCTCGACACGCACCAGTCCCTCCGCCGGGACAAGGTGCGGCGGCTCGTTTCCCACGTCGCGCGGCTGGCGCGTGATGGCGCGCCAGTCGCCGTCGCCCGCCTCGCCTTCGTCACCGCGCTCAACCTGCTCTCCTCCACCATCTTCTCCACCGACCTCGCTGACATCGACATCATCGACGACGACAGCGGCTCGTCGCCATCGTCATCGTTTAAGGGCGTTCTCGCGGAGCTGAACGCCACCGTGGGGTTGCCGAACGTGTCGGACTTCTTCCCCGAGGTGGCGCGGCTGGACCCGCAGGGGCTGAGGAGGCGCATCGAGAGCCTGTTCCAGCGGCTTCACGCCATGATGGACAAGCAGATCGAGCGCCGCTTGCAGGATCGCGTCGCCGCCGCCGCCGCCGCCGGTCCCAAGAAAGAGAAAGACTTCCTGGACGTGCTGCTGGACTACCGCGGCGCCGAGGACGGCCGGGGCTTCGATCGTCAGACGCTCCTGTCGTTGCTGTCGGACCTATTCAGTGCCGGCACCGACACAAGCGCAGCAACGGTAGAATGGGTGATGGCCGAGCTGCTACTGAATCCATCCTCCATGGCGAAGGCTCGTGCCGAGCTCGCGCAGGTGATCGGCTCCAAACCGGAGGTCGAGGAGTCCGACATTGCGCAGCTCAAGTACCTCCAGGCCATCGTGAAGGAGACGTTCCGCATCCACCCTCCGGCGCCACTCCTGCTTCCGCACCAGGCCGAGACGACAACGCAGATCCGAGGCGGCTACGCGGTGCCCAAGGGCGCACGCGGCGTGGTGAACGTGTGGGCGATCGGCCACGACGGCAAGGTGTGGCCCGAGCCGGACAAGTTCATGCCGGAGAGGTTCTTGGTAGCAGAGGACGACGAGAAAGCAGTCGACTTCCGCGGCCGAGACTTCGAGCTCTTGCCGTTTGGGTCCGGGAGGAGGATGTGCCCGGGGATGCCGCTGGCGCTTCGCATGGTTCATCTCATGCTCGCGTCCTTGCTGCATCGCTTTGAGTGGAGTCTTCTTCCTCCGGCTGATGATGACAAGAACGGGCTGGACATGACTGAGAGGCTTGGGCTCAACCTGTCGATGGCTACACCACTGCAGGCTATGGCGACTCCAGTTTAAATCAATCAATCGTACATCATGCATATCGTTGTGTACGTGTGTGCACACACTGGATCGGATGTGGTGAGTGGCAAGATAAGCTAGCCGTGGTGACGACCGACGTGGACTTTACTTTCCACCTCCATCTTTTTTTTTAAATAACATGTGAAATGAAGAATCAGCCACATATCTATATATTTTTAGTTCACAAGGATCATACCCGTGTACGTTGCAACGGGAATAAAATAATGCCACGATAATTCAGACGTGTGTTGTATTGTTACCAAAGATGATTTTAGAGTGTGATGTTCATAACATTCCGTTTGTACTCAATTCTATCACTCTTCACGGAGCATGAACAATTAGAACCAGGACGCTGTGCGGGATGGTTTCAAGTCGTGTTAGTCAGTGTGCGAACTGTAAGCGCAACTTTAGTATCACCTCGTTGCCATAACTCAAGGGAACACAACTTAGGGTAGTCCCAATGGTGTATTGATGATGATTTCTATCCTCATTAAATGATTTGCCACGTAGGCAAAACGCTGACATGGCAACGTAATTAATGAAGAAAAGAGCAAAAATCATAAAATGGTTTCCTCATGAAGAAATCAGGTCTAAACATTTGGGACAAAACGCTGACGTGTTGGTGGCCCTGGCTTCGCCCTGCCCGCCCTCATGGACACCAACGCCGGCGGTCTGCCCTTACAACATGAAACACTCCAATGCAACATACATTTGAAACAAATGAAACATTTGGGACATATGCTTGCAACATGTGTGTGAAACATATGCAACATCCAGATAAAATAATTGCAACATGAAAAAAACACTTACTACAACATAAGACTGAAATAGCCCAAACATTTGGAACATACTGTTCAACATATGTGTGAAAACATATGCAACATCCAGATAAAAAACGATTGCAACATACGTCTAGAAACAGATGAAACATTTTGAACAAACGATTGCAACAAGCTTCTGAAACACGTGCAACGTATGCAACATGTGCAACATCACCCGATCTACTTTTGCAATATCCATAAGAAACAACTGCAACATACCTTTAAAACGACTAGAACATCAAAAAAATATACATTTGCAACACAGGGGAGGGGAAAGACTCGGCTGGTCGGTTCCAGCCGTCGGGGTCGGAGCTGGCGGCGAGTGGCGGCGCACGAGCACCACCGCCACCAGCGCCACCAGTACCGGGCTTGGCTCGATGGCAACAGTGGGGGATGGGGGGCGAGGAGCGCCATGGCTGCTGGGGTGGGGGGAGCTTGGTCGGCGGGGTGAGACAAGGTGCCGCTGGGGTGGCGGAGGGCGCCGCGCCGGGGTGGAGGAGAGCCACCCACTCCCCCTGCAACACCGCCACGCCACCTCCATGGATCTTGCTGGAGGCAAGTGGATCTCGCTCCTGCTCCATGGATCTCGCCGTGTTGCGGTGAAGGCCGCCGGATCTGTGGGCATTGGGGGCTCCCGTTGGGGGAGGATGCGGGGAGTTAGTGTGCTGTGGCAGGGGATGAGGAGCGCGGAAGGGGTAAGGGCGGGAGCGGAGCAGAGCGGAGCGAAGCTGCGGGAGTTGATTTTGTTTTTTTAGAGAGCGGCGCATGCGGCAGTGAGTGGAGCGAGGCGTCCAGCCTTCCAGACGTCTTAATGGTAGCATTGCCGATTTCTAAGGTCACATTTCAAATCATGCATGCCACCTTCAGGTTCGGCTACAAATGGATCCTGAAAGCCTTGTACCCATCACCAGAACAAGAAATAAAAGAAAAACCTAATGTAGTATGTCTTCCTTCGCTCAAAACATTGGACCTTACATTAACACAAAGTTGTACTGGCACATCTAATCAACCTATAATGGTTGCATGTCCCCATCATGTAGATTAACAAAGCACATCTACCTAATATGAGAAATTTAACAGTATATGAAAAAAATGCATACCAGAAATGTGATTTCCGGCATGTGTTGGTTATATATATGTAGCATGTTGAAGATTATTTGAACCACTCAGCGGCAATGCTCCAAACGAGGCCTGATCAACACCTTCTTTTTTTACTTGAAGCCATACTAATTCTAACAATGCTCCAAACGAGGATTGCTCTTTAATTCCTTTGACGTATCTGGAGACAAAATAAAGTGAGTCATACAAAAATCATACACAAATTAGTTATACAAAGCGAGTTTGGGCCTTTACCGGATAGGCAACAGTGCTAGCCTGCTAGGTTGGACTACCAAACAGCCTTTCTATTTGGGCGGACGAGCTGAACCCAGATGGATGGCGTCGCGAGCTCCATCTCCTTCCCCCTCCCGTTCGTCGCGAACTCCTCTCCTTCTCCCTCCCCCTCCTAGGAGGTTGCGGCGGTAGGCGGCGTTGTCCTCGTCCCCAGCCCCGGCTCTCCGGATCTGGGTGGGCGAGCGACGGCCAGGGCGGGCGAGCTCGGGATAGGGGAGGTGGCGGCCATGGTAGGCGAGCTTGGGCCATGGCGAGCGAGCTTGGGCCTAGGGAGGTGGCGGTCATGGCGGGCGAGCTCGGGCCCGGGGAGGCGGTGGCCATGGCGGAGTGAGCTGGATCTGAGCGGTGGCAGGCGAGCTAGATCTGAGCTGGTGCCGGCCAAGGCGAGCTGGTGGCGGGCGGCAACCACGCAGGGTAGGGCGGTCGAGCTGGGGCAGAGCTATGGCGAGCCGCAGTGCCCGCTCGGTCGAGCTGGGGCGAGCAGGAGGAAGAAGATAACGAAGGGAAAAAATAAAGAGGATGACAGGTGGGCCCCACTAACGGGTACTAATAATGGTGTCAAAATGCCATCCATTCTATCCCTCTCCACCCTTCCAACCAAACAAAAATTTTAGGTTTAACCCACCCTCTTAATCAAACACGAGATGGATTCATCTCATCCCAGAAAATTGGGTTAGACCCATCCCAACCCACTTGGTCCCTAAACCAAACACACAGTAAACGTGGCTTTGGTTGAACCTTCCCCATAGACTTGCCTAAAAGCCCTGCCAAACATACACGAGGAACGGCTCCTAAAGCTAAAACTAGTGAAACCGTGGTTATTTTTCTCATAAGAAGCCGAAACCACAAAAACATGACTTCCCCTAGCTCATATGTGGCTTCCATGCTCCTAGAAATAGTATTCATCAAGTCCGAAGATGCCACTGACAACTTGTGTATAGAAGTCAAATAAAGGGCATTTTGCACATTTGATGTCTCCCACCTATTCCTCAAAAATAGAAGAATTGTTTTTTCAAACTTTTTTCAAAATAGTTTTAGATTCACCAGAAAAAACTGCTTTTATATTTAAAAAAAAGTTAGAACCAAAGGCGTTTTTAGAGAAACTAAAAACCCTACCAAAAGAGGGTCTTAATGACAGTGCCAAAGAGGCATGTGACCGTGACTCATCTCAGTAGTGCCCACACGCTTTCTACCAGGGGGTTTATTGAATGAATGAGCTAGAATCCATGTATTCGAGCAAAAAAAATTGAATGCTCCAGTCCATCATATATGAAGTAGAGAAAATTCCCTATTTAGCATCACAGAATGACATGCTTCCCTATATAGCATCCAAAGATTAAAAATTTTCAATATAGCACTGGGTTTATTTTTGGTCCCCTATCTAGCACTACCGTCGGTACAGACAACTAACACCGTTAATTGGCAGCGGAAAAGTCCATTATACCCCTATTTCACTCTGTACAGATCATTTGCAATGGATGTTTCATCTGTATAGAAGCAGGACATTTGCAATGTAACATCAGCCCCTTTTTTGCCAGATTATTTGTTTTCAACAATAAACAATTTTTAACAACATTATTTTTTTTGACCAATGTATTGAAACAGCAGCAGCTTAGATGAGATCTCTATATACATTAGCAACTATAGATTGCTTAAGCCACACAAACCACATAGTTCGCACATATATCAAGTGTCCAAGTTCACATAAAGAAGACAATAGAAAACTATACATATTACATGGTACATAGATGGCACGAGAAATCACAGACTGAGCCTTCTTTTGCTCCTAGTGCTCATTGCCGGGCTAGGAGGGACAACCATTTTGCTTTTGCTTCTTGTGCCCATTGCAGGGCTGTCAAGTGATTTCATGGGAATTTTTTGCATGTCATTCTTTATTTTCCCCTTTGCCTTTGGTTTGGACTTGACCTTTGGTTTTGCCTTAGTTGTCTTGGATGCATGTCCTGCAGCTGAGTTAGTGTGATCACCATCTATGCTCATGGGCTCAAGTTCATTGGACCCTTTTTTTGACCTACAATTGTGCATGTACAAGTGGTCACCCTCTCTAATGAGTTAAGTTTGACAAAAAAATTGTGGTCCAAGGTGGTCTGTACTAAAATGCTCATAAAACAGAATACAAATCAGAGTTTACCTTGTTGAGCCTGCAGAAGATGAGGTGCTGCGTTTTCCTTCTTCAACACTTTGGCTGTTTTCAAAAGTGGAAAACTTTAGCTGTGAAGAAATGAATGCATTGACTAAAAAAATACAAGGACAACAGAAATACCTTGCTGAAGCTCCAGAAGACGAGGTGCTGCGTTTTCCCTTCTTCTTAGTTGTATGTTCAACACCGGGGCTGTTTTCAAAAGTATACAAGTAAAATTTTGGTGAATCAAACCATCTGCTATAAAGTACAGGAAGGAGCATATAATTACCTTGTTGAGCCTCTGGAACATGAGCTGCTGCGTTTTTCCTTTTTACTAGTTGCAGGCTCCAAAATTTGACTGTGGCAATGAAGAAAGGTACTGAGAAAAAAAAACTTAGACATTGAAAGGATCAAGATGCCCAAAAGGGGGGTGAATTGGACCAATTCTAAATTTCTTTGTAATAATTAAACCCTACGATAAGCCCAATTAACCCCTTGTGCCTAGAAAGTGTTTCTATTGATCTACTGCACAAAAGTTTAGCAACATATGTTCCAATCCTACTCTAGCATGGCAATTCTATGAATTTAAATGTCAACAATTGAATTGTTCAAAGTAAATGCTCAAAGTAAAGAGAGAAAGAGAAAGAGAAACGCGGCGATGTTTTGCCGAGGTATCGGAGAGTCGCCACTCCCCACTAGTCCTCGTTAGAGCATCCGCGTAAGGGTGTAGCTCCCCCTTGATCCGCGCAAGGATCAAGTGCTCTCTACAGGTTGATTCTTCGACACTCCGTCGTGGTGAATCACCCACAACCGCTCACAACTTGAGTTGGGTCATCCACAAGCTCTCCGGATGATCACCAAGCTCCCAAACGCCACCAAGCCATCTAGGTGATGGCGATCACCAAGAGTAACAAGCACGAACTCTCACTTGACCACGACAAGCCTAATGAAAAGGGTGGATGCACACTTTGCTACTCTTGCTTTCACTAATGAGGCCTCTTTTTTTATTCTCAAATCTCAATCACCTCACTAGGACCTTGCTCTTCTTGGCACTCTCAAAGGTGTTTCTCAACTGTTGGAATGAGCAAAAGTACCCACACACACGAATGGAGGTTGTATTTATAACCTTGGTTGAAAAACGAACCATTATGTGCCTCTGCGGGGTGACCGGACGCTCCGGTCAGTTCTCCCCGAACTCCAATGTTTAAGTAGTGATCGGACGCTGGACAGCGTCCGGTCAGGTCCAGTCAGTACTTGACCGGACGCATCCGGTCGTGATTTTCTCTCTCTGGAACCTTACTGGAGTCGACCGGACGCTGGCACCCAGCGTCCGGTCGCTCAACTCTCTAGCGTCCGGTCGCACCAGACGAAATCACCTTGATCAAATGAACTGACCGGACTCTGCGCCCGTGTCCGATCACACCGAAGCCAGCGTCCGGTCAGCATTTGACCCTCCATTCACTTCCATCTCTCAAGCATATGTGAATGAAGTTTGCTCCAATTGAAGTAAGGGCTATTTAGGAGCTACCTAGTGCTAGATTTAGCAAGTGTGCACCACACCTAACCCACTAGACTCACCTAGGTCAAGCTACCCGTTCATACTCCCCTTAATAGTATGGGCAAAGGAAAAACAAAGTCCTTAACTATTCTATGTGTCTCTTCAACACCAAACGACACTTAGAACTAGTCCATCCTTAACCTTGTCGTCCATCATTTGAAAACCGAAACGATTTCCATCGTAGGGGCATGGCATCCATTGATCGCCCAATCAATCTCCATTACCATGACCCAACTTAATTGCCTCTGCAAAACACACGTTAGTCACAGTAATCACGTATTGTCATTAATCACCGAAACCCAACTAGGGGCCTAGATGCTTTCAGACATGTACAAGCATAAAAAATGCTAACCATGGTGGGAAAGACATGCAGGCTGCTGGTGTGTCATCCTCTAAAGCCAAAAGGCCAGCTTCTATAGCTGCTTTCGTGCGTCTTTTCTTCTTTTTGGGTGGTCCCCTATAAGGAGCAAAGTTAAAGTCAGCATTTTACATCTTCTTATAATGATCATGCAACAAAATATGAACATATTAGACAATTTGTTACCTCAATTCTCTCATAGCTTCCATGTCCTCTTTGCTGCTATTTTTGCAATTATGCCAGTGGTGCCCGTAATCCTTACAAATAGGGCACTTGTGTTGGGCCTTTTTCATTTTCTTCTCGGTACAACCTTTGAACCTCATGTTCTTTCTCCTACCAGATGTAGGTTTCAATAGTGGCGGATGTAGGAAAAAATCATGGATCCCTTTAGGCCACTAAGACTTGTCAGGCATGGCAGGGATTAGTTCACAATAAGCTGCTCTAAATTTGTCAATGGAGTAATACAAGTCCACATAATTCTCAAGAGAGGCACTACGTAGTGATGTGATGAATGTTATAGCATGTTTACATGGAATACCAGAAACTTGCCATTGTCTGCAAGAGCATGTCCTATCCTATAAATTCACAACAAATCTAAAACAAGTACCTCCTAATGCATTAACTTCACCAACGTGTTCTGAGCATTCAAGAACTTCCAGCTCTAGTTCTCTACTCCTTTCATTCAACCTTTTGATTATGTGGGGTAGAATCAAACCTTCTAACTTCTTTGACACTTTCCTCCTTTGGTTCCACTTGATCATAATCAATTATCTAATCTTATCCATAAAGTAATCTAAGTTCATGGACTTATATTGCTTAATCCAATTGTTAAAAGACTCTGCCAAGTTGTTAGTTACATAATCCACCTTGGAATTGGTTGAAAATTGACTCCTAGTCCACAACTTCTTATGCCAATTCCTAAGATATGCAGTTGCTGCTGGTTTTGCTTTCTCCATAGCAAACCAATGCTTCTCAAATATATATTGGTTCCATGAATAAGCTGCTGCCCAAAGGTGGTCATTGGAGGGTCTTCTTTGTCATGTTCTATATCTAGGACATGATCTTCCTCATAGTCTGTGTCCAATAGCTCATCAGCAACCTCAGTTTTAGATCCAGACTGTGAGTCAAGATCCTCCTCATCCTCCGTACCCTCCTCATCAGGACCAGAATCCTTTTCCATTCTTTTGCACCTAGAATAAAGGACCACATTTAGAGCATGTATAGGTTCATTGCTTGCCAAGTACATAGCCTCTTCATCGACCATACATGTTCATTCTCGGGCGATGGATTATCTAAATATATGTCCTCTGGTTCAGCAGAAGATTCTGCATGGGCTGCCCTTGGTCCTCGTAATGCCAGTGAGTGAGAGGCTCATATGGTTCAGATGGATGAGAATATGCTATGAACATGTCCACAACCTTTGTTTTCTTGTGTTTTTCAAACATTAACATCAAATCTTGGTCAGTTTTAACTTCTGGGAAGGTTTTTGAATCATGGTCATGGTACTAAAGATGTGCAATTTCCATATAGCCAGGAGGGTACTGATCTACGATTGATTCAACTAAATCTTGAAAATTAGTGAGATCAGAATCAACAACTTTCTCAAAACAAAAGTATCTGACATCTTTCCTAGCTTTCTTAGGTTTACCAAGGTGTTTCATTTGTAGGATATAAGTTGAATTTGGATCAAGAGATGGATGAAACCTGTGAACCAAATAAAAACATCTTAAACTATGAGTAATTATACCAACAGTTGAAAGGGCATCAACAGCAAGAACACAATGAGGAGAGGATGGGAACTCACCCCTCCAACAATGTGGCCATGCCAGACCTTCAAGCGCCGCCAGGTGGCACCTCTGCTCGTGCGCTTGGGCCATGCAAGGTTGCGCACGCGCCTCCACTGGGGCAATGCGGGGATGCGCATGCACCTCCGCCGAGGCTGCGGCAGGCTGCGCATGGGCTGCCGCAGCAGGCGTCGTTGCTCGGGCTGCCGCCGCAGGCGCTCCTGCTTGGGCCGCCACCGCTCAGGCCAGCCCCGCCGCACACGCCGGCGCCACTCAGGTCGCCCCCGCCCAGATCCATGCCCCCCGGATCCACAGGAAAGGGCTCCTCGCTGGGAGGCAAGCCACCGCTGCCGGCCATCGCTTTGGTGCGGTGGGAGTCACGATAGGGTTCAGGAGAAGAGAAAGGACCAACGGCTCGGGACCATGACCTGTTCATAAGGTTATTTTGGTCTATCCTTCGATTACCTGACAAGCACAAAACGGTATACCCTAGGAGATCTGACGATAGTGCTAAATAGGGGACAAAAAACAAACCCAATGCTATATTAGAAAAATTTAATCTTCAGATGCTATATAAGGAAGCATATCATTTTGTGATGCTATATAAGTACTGAGGTAATCTGGCTTTATCTCACATCAAAAGCAGTAAGATGTGTCATTTGATTTTTGCAGTTTCATGTCTCCTGTTGCCAGGACATCCTTCGCCGTATTGTTAAACGTCATTGGTAAACCAGTGTGCAACTACAGCAGAAGTCAGCTATTGGGCCAATACAATACAAGACAAAATCCACAATATGGTGCATGCTTATACATGCCATGTTGCCCCCTGTATATTTCGTGAATGGAGTAAGATTGTGAATCCAATTTACTACAGAAATCATAAAACCTGCATTCACATCTATCACTCTATCAGATCTCATATTGACAACATAAATAATCAAACAATTCCATGATCCACAGCACCGTCTAAAGACATGTATGAAGAGGTGCCAGCCACTCAGAATGTGACCCCAAGTCGCTCTTCGCACCATTGTCAAACCATTGTCTGAACAAACTGAAATATTCCCAGCACTAAGATGAAAGCAGATGCTTTTAAGGGGTCTTGGGCATATAATCAGTCACTAAACTTTTGTTTCCTCAATCGGTAACTCTATCTTCCCTGTACTGTTTGTTGAAGCGTTGGCCATGCGACCTCCTCATCATTGCTGTATCCATTGATAAGAAAATCAGTGCAGTTCCTCTGGCAACCTCGACTGTAAGGATTTCTGAAATGCCCATCAGGCCCTCGAAGATATGTGTAGCGAGATCGATTCGCTACCTCATTAGTTGTCATGTTCCGTGCTATCTGCAATGAATGGATGAAGCATACACGTTATGAAAATGCACCCATTGAAGCGAATATGCCGTGCGGGTATGTGGCCGAACTTCCATTTTGCTACTTCTAGCAAACTGAGTTCAACGAAATTATGCTGTTCGGTTTCACAATGATAGAAACATACTCTCTAAACAGCCTAGCTACAAATCTTATGAGGCACAAAATAGAAACTGTATGCTCTTTTGCTATTCCCAATGTCCAAAGTAGCACAGAGCATGAGACCACAATTTGATCATACAGCATAGAGACAAATAGAATGCTGCTCTGATAACCCCAGAGTGTTTGCTCAAAAAAATGCAAATACTAACAAACAGGCGAAAATTTACCTGTACTGCTTGTGCTCCAGTCAGAATCAGAGCTCCAGTTAACAAAAAGACATCCAGAAACATGAACAATACAGCACCAGGATGCTTTGTCACCATGAAATGCATCCACGATTCTGAAGATGAGAGTATAACGGGCTCTGTCCAAAGTCCTGAGGCATTAAATGTCCTTGACTTGTTAGTACATCTTGAAGCAAAGAAAAAAGTACTGTTTAAAGACGTCCTTACTGTGGAATCCAACAGCAGCACCCAGGAAGGATGTAGCTATCCCCATCCAAAGAAACACGAAAAAGTCCCACTTATTTCGCTGCAAGAAAAAAAAAATTAGTAATTCCCTCTGTCCCAGTTTATAAGGCGCACGCGTAATAAACAAAACATTGAAGTTTTATTCTTATACAAAATTGATACCGTTAATTTTGAACGACATACTTTCCTATGATCTTAATCCTATAGTCATAAACAACGCAATATGGAAAATCTGTCAGTCTCAAAGAGCTGCATGCAGAATACAATTGAATACGAACATGTATGTATGGCATCACAATGAGGTTCAAGTTGACAGTCTGAATACTTATTACAGTCAGATTTCATAATGAAAAAAATCCAAGTGCACACATTATTACATGAATACTAAGCATCAAGCAACTGTGTATTCCCATTAGCGATCCAAAGAACAAAATTAGTATCCAATATTAGTGCCTAGCCAGAACATGTTTCCTTAAACAATTGGAACAGCAGAACAGGCAGTTAAAGTCACAACAATAGAAAATTCGAGATGTGCAAATTAATGTTTATACCTTTCCAACACAGTTTGATATCCATGGGCAGTGATGGTCAAACTGCTCAACACAATGCTTACAAGTTGGACAATGTTTGGAGCGCATAGGTCGAATTATCTGGTAAGTAAGGTTACCCATTCAGTAAAAATAAACATAGTTGGGGTTTATAGCCAAAACAAGAGCAGGTAACAAGACAAGCACACATACATATGGTTTCATCTTTTGCTTCCGACACAAAGTGCCATCTCCACAAGAGATATACTAAAATAATACGAAACACAAGGGGGAGGGGGGATCACAGAAGTGAGAATAGTAATGAGGAGTTTTTCTCTAGTACCTTGCAAGTAGGGCATAGCTGAGACCAATTGCCTGTCCAAGTAGAGGAGTTGGTAAGATCAATTTCCATAAGTGGCTCCTGTAAATAAAGCACTAATTGTCATATTTACCTACTGACAAAAAAAAAAACTGTGCAAACAACTTTCTATGGTTTGGCAGACCAAATGATGTTTAGTCAGTCTTCAAAATGTTGACTACAGAACTTCAGTTGGTCGCAATGCCAAAAGATAGGTGAAAATAGGCCCATAAACTCCTAGCTTCCATGTACTGTAGTATGATAATATGGTATCAACTACAAACTGAAGGAACATGTTTTATCTGTTCCTTGAAATGACACATAGCAAGATTCTATAAATATTGATCCAAGGCAGTTCCTTCAAGCACATTTGTAGAAACATTGTCTTTGAATAACAGTGGTAGAACATTTTTTTTACCTTCGGATCAGATCGCTTGGAATTTGCCTTGATGTAGCCAGGATTTTTTCTGTCAACAGCAAAAGAACACAAACGTTAAGCATGGAACAGGGACAATATGAGAACAAAATAATCTGCTGATCTTATAAAAGTATATGTTCATATGTTGAGATTAAAACTTTAAAATGAAGATTTCCACACTAGCAAGAATGCATCAAATGCATGATCGAATCTCTTTCCATGAGTCTCATACTCTCATCACAAATTCATTTTACCCAACAGTCAGTCATCTTTTTAATGGCTACATATATCAAGGTATTATTATAGCTACTTAATGTACAAAGACAAAAAACATAGCTAATCAGGAAATAGCCAAAGGTGCACATAAATGGTACGACCAGACGATAAACAAATATGAAACATAAGTTACCTGCTAACTCTGTAGAACATTACTTGAGATGCAAAGAAAAGTGATACAGCAGCCCAAGACCAAAGACCAGCAGTAGCAGTGATCCTAGAAAAATTAGGTGCTGCAGAGATTTTATGATCAGGTCTGATGAAAAACAAAGATCCCTAATTCTGATATAAACAACAAAAACTCTGAAGCAATGCTCACCAAATACAATCGAGTTTAGGAAAAGGATGAGGCAGACGACAAGATAAGCAAACAAGAAAGGGGCGTATCCAATTTTCCTCGATTTCCCAGGGAAGAACTTGTCTTCAAAGCTTACTTTTGTAGCATTAGACTACAAGCAGAGAAATTATTTTGTTAGTGGAGTTGAAAAGGTCAGTACCTAAAACACACACCAAACGAATATTTGGAGAACAAACTTCAAAACAGGGGAGGAAAGAAATGGATAGAACAGGGGAAAGCATACATCATTGAATACATGCCATTGCAATCATTTACAACAGCACGAACCTAGATGCACTGGTGTATGAGCAGATTGAATGGTGGCATGCAGCACAATTTCTCAGGAGGAGAAAGAGGTTAATTATTAATAGGAAAATAGAATGCCAGCGGAAACGTACAAGGATATTGGAAAGATGCCGATGACCTTTTTCTGCTGCAAGTTGCACAGGAGTTAAGCCACCACTATCCTTAAGTGTGAGTTCTTCCTTCGTACCAGTATGTACAAGAACTGTGCAAACCTCCAAATTCCCTCTTATAGCAGCCCAGTGTAAAGCGGTACAACCTGCACGGCATCACGAAAAGAGCTTAAATACTATATACCCACCTAGCTGCCTAAGAGAAATAAAATAACAGGGCCACATTCGCAGTCATCCATAATTTTAAGGGAAATTAATTATTCATCCTAATTTTTTCCATAGGGTTGGGAGCATACTACAGACAATTGAAAAAGTAGATGTTTTTAAAAATATTCTGACAAGCACTGAACCTTGCCAAATATGCTGTTGTTTTTGTTCATAGAATAAGAAAAATTGTGGAAAAGAAGAAACATATGAAGTAGCCAAAAGATGTAATTAAATACCACAGAAAAGAGGCAGGTACCATTTTTGTCTTGCCTTACTTGATTAGCATCCATAAATAGCAGTAATCTGATTGTATCTGCATTTCCTTTGTAGGCAGCCCTGTGATGTTATAGAATATATAAGGTTACATTACGCCAAACATGGAAATGTAGATAAAAGTATCCAATGAATGGAAGTCTCGACAGAGAAGTCAGGTAGACAGTAAATTAACTGACTCTTCAGGACTGTGGTTACAGTCCTTCAATCGTACAACTGAGTGCACAGCACCATATCATATACATGCACAGCAGTGCAAAGACAAATTCTGAATGAATCATTTACCGTGATTGAGACACAATTTGAACAGAATATACAAAACCATATTAAACTGTATACTGCATTTTTTAGGTGACATTGATACCTAAACAAGGGAAAGCATGCATTCTGAAAGTAGAGTCTTGTCAATAATCATGTACCAGTGCAGCGCGCTCCTCCCATCATTGTCCAAAGCATCAAAATCTGCACCGTACTTTGAGATAATGTGATGCAAGAATGATGTTTGGCCATACTGAGATGCAACATGGACTGCCTGACATAATAATCAAAGCAGGGAACAGTCAGACAGAAGATTCCGCTTGAACCATATAAATGACTTAGCTGTCATCAGGAACTGAACATATAATCTTTTTCATCAGCATCAGCAATAAAGGAAAGATGAAAGGCTGCTCCAAAGATAAGCTATCCAGCCTAAAAGCAAATTTCCAAATGGTGTGCTGTAAATATGTAAGATACATTTATTATTTTGCTATTCAGTCCATTGTCTTGCTTATCAGCAAACAGCAGAATTAATCTGCAATTGCACCTGTTGCAAATGATTTATTCTAAACAAAATGGCACTAGCACAATGGCTGCTACTCCCTGTGTACCAAATTGCAAGTCGTTTTGGTTTTTCTAGATACATAGCTTTTGTTATGCACTTAGATATTGTCTAGATACATAGTAAAATCTATAAAAAAAAGGGCAGCCCCAGTGCACGTAGCTCCCACTTGCGCAGGGTCAGGGGAAGGGTCCGACCACTTGGGCCTTTTGTACGCAGCCTTTCCCTGCATTTCTGCAAGAGGCTGTTTCCAGGACTAAAATCTATGTATCCAGAAAAGCCAAAACGACATACAATTGGAATGCGGGGAGTACTTCACTGAGATAATGCTTAGTTTGGAAGTTGGACCAATAGAGTAAGTTCTGTATTTGGAAGTTAAGACTAACAGAGTAAGTTCTGTATTCTTCTACTAGATAGATTTCCTATTGTCATCAATGCTGAAAGCCTGAAACACACTAACCATACAGCTGATTTGGCAAACCAGATGAGAATTGAGGCAGACCCTACATTTTTTACTGATCAAACAAACTTCGTAAACCTCTAAAACCACCCCCGCAGACTCTCCCAGATGGCAGTTGGTTTCATGGTACCCTCACCAATCAGGTACTAAACCAATCACAAACATAGGGGCAACAAAATATATATAAATTCGAATTGTACATCCAGAAAGACAAGGGTGCCACATTACCCGGTAGCCATTGACGTCGGCGGCCTCGACCCTGGCGCCGTGCTCCATCAGCACGTCTGCCACGGAAGTGGACCCACGCACCGCCGCCCAGTGCAGCGCCGTCTGCCTCGCGTGGTCCGTCGCATTGACGTCGCCCCCGTGCTGCAGCAAACCGAACAATCCCATCATCAGCGAAGCTATAAGGTGAGGCGAGCACCAGTCGCAGGAATGGATAAGCGCAGATTCGAAGCCGGCGAGGAAGCAGGATAGGGGTAAGGACGGAGGGGAAGACGAGTCCGAGCCCGACCTCGATGATGTAGACCGCGACGTGGGGGTAGTTGTTGAGCGCGGCCCACTGGAGCACGTGGTAGCCGTTTCCGTCGGGCTCCCTGAGCGCGGCGGCGGCGGCGGCTCCCCCCTGCTCGACGAAGCCGCGGAGCCGCTCCAGGTCCCCGTACGCCGCCGCCGAGTACACGTCCACCACGGGGTCCGCCGGCGGCTCCCCCGCACCTTCCTGCCGCCGCCGCTCCTCGTCCTCGTCCCGCCTGCCGCCTTCGGACACCACCTCGATCTCCGCCATGGATGCGCGGATGGGACCTGGCGGAGGAAGGTGGGGAGCGGGGGGCTAGGGTTGGAGGCTTGGAGCAGGATCAGCCGCGGTTCCTTCGAGGCGGCGCGGGTGGGAGAGGGTGGAGGTGGTGGTGGTCAAGGGGGCTGACGAGGGGTAGGAGGATTTGGTTGGGGAACAGCGACCGCCGACAAAGCGACGAACAGCCACCGCGGACCGGAGTGGCTCGGGGCGGGCGGAGTGGGATGACTCGCGGAGGAAGAGGGGGATGGTCAGAAGAGTCAGAGGAGTGACGCGGTGGCACGTGAGCGGTGGTTGGGAGCCGTCGCCCGTCGGACGCCTTGGGTTCTCAGGTGGAAATTGGGACGGAACTGAGGGGTAGGGATGAAAACGATCGGGACCGAATCACTTTCATTTTCGCATTTTTTTCAAAAACAAAATCGATACGATATTGTCGGAAATGAATACGGTACCAATATTCCAGTAATTTCGAAAACGATCATAGTCGATCGGAAAATACATCGATAATGATCGAAACCCATGAGAACGATATCCTCAAAAACTATAGACATACCAAACTGTAGCATATGAGAAGAGCCATAAAACTCGACCTATCTCACGTTACAATAGTTATAAATAAAGCCACAATTAACAAGACTATAAGCTAAAACTACAGTTCACACCATCTTAGATCTCAAACAAGCTAAACCTCATAGTTAGGGTGCAGTACGTGATTGACTTATTGCCTTCCTATTCATACACGGATGAAATATTTGCCGTATAGTTCCTCAAAAAAATATTTGCTTTATGTGCTTGCGTGTGCAGATGGGATGCTTAAATGTAGGCCAACTGAACCTAAAGTATATACATTATATAGTCTATAAATAACTTAGGATTCAAGGCCTTTGAATCGGTAACTATCGACGATAAATTACCGGCTAAATACGGCAATCTTCGAAAATGGTCGAAAGGGGGCAAAATTGTTTTCGCTTTCGTTTCCGAATATTTTTATCGTTTTCATTTTCATTTTTACTATTATCACCATTTTCGTTTAGGCTTGAAAACAGGAAAAACACGGAAACGATTTCCAAAAATCAGAAGTTATCATTTTTGTTTTCATCCCTCCTGAGGAGCTCCGTGGGTCATGGCCGGCTTGTGTGGACTTTTTTTTAACTTCTTGTGTGGACCTTTGTTTTAGTGGTAACGTTGGGTATAGGGCGTCCGTCCACCCGACGGTAACGATGGTGGGACGCGATGTAGCACAACAACCATATCTTATATGTTCATCCACTCGTCTTCAACCGTTCTAAAAAATACTCACCTCACCACAGCGCCGTGATAGCTTTTCACGACCGTGCTTCGCTGTGGCGCCTTAGCAACGACGTTCTCCACCGCGCCTCCCTATCCATTGCGCCTCCTCTCTGCTGGCCAACATCTCCTCCGCGCCAGAGCACAGCAGCCCGTCTTCCTCCCTCTCCACTGCGCCTCTCGCCTGTCGCGGGCTTCTCCAGCGCACGGACCGCCCGCAACCTTCTCCACATGACCTGTCGTGGCCTTTTCCACCGGAGCAGCGAGCTCCGCGCCACTAACGAGCTCTACACCAATGAACTCCACGCACCGATGAGCCTCCATTCTCAAGCAACAAGGAGATGTTGCGCTGAAAGCGCATGTTGCAAGCGTATGTTTCAAGTGTTTCGGATGTTTCAGAGGTATGTTATAAGTGTTTTGTATGGATGTTGCAAAAAATAAATCAGGATTTTGCATATGCTGCAAGTGTTTCAGAGGCATATTATAAGCGTTTGTTCAAACTATTTCTTCTGCTACATACGTATGTTGCAAGCGTTTAGATCTGCATATTATGGCAGAACCGCCTAATCTAATGCCTTACAGGAGTGCTTGTCTTCCATTAGACACTAAGCACTCGATGGAGAACACTAAATTACTCGGTTCTGTCGGGCACACCCCAGGGAGAGAACCCAAAAATCCACATTTTTGCCATCAGGATCACAAATAAGAGAATAAAGCTTACATCATTCTGAACCATTTCTTACATCACTTTTAATACAAGATCAGAGTATAATATTTATTAACATAACAGCGGAATGAAATCATATTATCAGAGTTATAAACAATTTAATTGAACAGCGGAATAGAAACATGTGAACAAAGTTACAGCGGAAATAAACATCTACTAATGACATGATAAAGTATTGATATATAAACTACGACAACAGATTATGAAACTTTCATTTATAAAACTATTTGGTGAGAGTTATAAATAACAACTACGATCGCAGCGTAAAGAAATCCTCGCTAAGCCCACCAGGAGGAATCCACACACAAGAGTCAGCTTTAGCATCCACCTGTCACCTACAACAGGGGGAATAAAACTCTGAGTACTCAATTGTACTCAGCAAGACTTAGCCGACAAGAGAAAAAAAGACTCTAAGGATATATAAGGCTATCTGGCTTGTAGGTTTATTGCATTTGCAGGAAGCATTACTAAGTGTGCGTCTTTATATTCGATTTTTATTAATAGCCGCATTGGTTCATTAACTAACCATTCTATGTAAGCACCTGTGCTACTTTCAAGCAGGTGGTAAGCAATCAGATTTCCTTCTTCATCTTTAAGTTCTTACTACGAAGCTAAACCGTAGACAAGCCGTACCGGATCGCCCGGTGATTCACGAATCAATGCCCCCAGCTGGGTACCCCGAAAACACGTGCCCCGCTTATACCCCAGGCACAAACAGGACCAACCCATCACTCTCCTGTCCTAGGTGTCCAGGTCCCCGTCCAAACTGGGACTCCAAGCCCCCGCCCCTGAGTCCCGGACTCAATGCGGTGCAAGGACCTCCTCCACCAAAATAAAACCCTGACAGTCGATCCGGAAAGAGCCGGATCCGTGACAAGAGAGCAACAAATCTTCCAAGCGCCCATACACAAGTATGTGCTCGAGATAATAAGTCTATGACTTGCCTAGAATCTTATGCAACGATCAGTCCTTAACCGACCAGACACGGAAAATAGTGTAACCAAGCTATGCCCATGTCCACGGCGACACCATCTCTTACACCCACCAATACCCAAACCATATCCCTGCCTGGTCACCATTTTTCTTTCCACCATTTATATTTTTCATGTGATAATAATCCAATAATATATTTCCTATAGCTCGCGAGTGACAGACAATCACTCGACTTCTACCGGAGCCCTGTAGCATAGCAATCTACACGATCCTGTCATACTAGTAATACTGGGTTTCATTCAACTCCTTAAAACTTAATACACAAATATAATTTAAACTGTAGAAAAGTAGGGGTTATACACCGGGGTTTACCTGGGTAAGATATATATTAAAAGTTAGTATCTGCATCCTCAGATCATCCACCATCAACAAGATAGAAAGCCCATTGCATCATCTCCTGGAGAGAATACCATGACACCATCTGTAGATTCCCAATCATCCTTCAATCGATCCGTTGATTCGTCATCGTACCTATATGATATGCATGCGATGCAAATGCAAAGATGTAATTAATCAACTGCAATTGTGACTCGTAAAATACGACGTCCGCCTCATGAGTTAACGGGCTAGTCCTAACGACGACCATACCTAGGCTACATATACACGTTGTCGGATAAGGCGCTATTTCCAAACAAATTATTTTAGTTATATAAACCAACGGTGTTTCTTTATTCCATTCTATCGATTTAATCCTTATTTGAAATAGAGCCTCATTAGCTACCTAGTAAATTGATTATTCTGGAGCTACAAAAATTACCCCGAGTACATAATATTGCTAAGAGCCTATTGTATAAATTTCAGATTCCACGATATTACCAATTTATCATGGAAATTCTTATAAGTTTATATTTTGCAATATCAAGTGTCTTAAATTAATTATATAGCTCCCACAAATATTGCCAAACTACGTGAACAAAATATACTAACAGGTAGAGCATGATTTTAGGAGACTAACAAAACTGGTTTCATAATTTTTGGGTGCTTATACCATTTTAGATTGATTTTACAAGTTATCTAGAAACTTATATTAGAAAAACATTTATAAATTGAAGAGGGACCAAGGCAACTCCAACCAAATGGATCAAGGGCAAAGTGGCGCCGAAAGGGTGCCCACCAGTAGCAATGGTGAAAGCTCTAGTTTGGTTTTGGTAAATTGATGAAACCCTAAGTGCTAACCTAGTTCATCAAGTGATCATGAGATAGGTAGCACACTTCAAGTAGAGAAGCAAATGAAGATCATAATATGACAATGGTGATAGCATGGAGATGATCAAGGGCTTAAACTTGAAGAGAAGAAAGAGAAAAACAAAAAGCTCAAGGCAAAGGTATAACTTGTAGGAGCTATTTTATTTTGGTGATCAAGACACTTAGAGAGTGTGATCATATTTAGGTTTGATAGCCGTACTATTAAGAGGGGTGAAACTCGTATCGGAATGCGGTTATCAAAGTACCACTAGATGCTCTAACTCATTGCATATGCATTTAGGATCTAGTAGAGTGCTAACACCCTTGATAATATTTGTGTAAATATGCTACCATATGTGCACAAGGTGTTTGTAGGGTTGAGATGGGTTTGGGTCCCTCTCAACGGGATTCGGCGCTTTCGGGAAAATGAAATGTCTATTTTCTATTGCGCCGGATGCAAAATTCTTGGTGGTTGGCACACTTGAGCAAGGGTGAAGAAGTAAGAGTTGAAATGGAGTTGATCGAAATGATGCTAGCGTCGGTCCAATGACCGGACGCTAAATCCGTAAGCTGCCGGACGCCGATCGCTCAAGGTCGTCGGTCATACCGACTTCAAGCATCTGGTGGCTAGGGTATACCACCGGACGCAGCTGAAGTCCGGTCGAGGTGGACGACGCGTCCGGTCAAAGAAAAATGGATTTGGACCCTTATCAGATTGTACGGACGACGGGCTCCAGCTGGCTCCGGCGTCCGGTCGATTTCTTCGAGCGTCCGGTCGACCATCGCGGCCGTTAAATCG